CAGTCCATAGGTCTAGCCCAAGTTACTCATTTACAAGTGGATCCTAACAGGGCTTGCTAACGGAACAGCACCAAATGCCTTGCCTTTTTAAAGCTCAGGTCAGAGTAATGGACTCTTCTAGTCACCAATTTTAGTCTACTCTGCAAGGCAAAGTACCAGCTACCTAATCTTTTGGGAGGACAGAAAAGCAACTTTCCAGAAACACTGCTTTTTGCCATTATTTTCATATACAGAATTACTAATGGGCTAACAATGAGTCAGACAAATTATATGGTGCCAATTTTAAATATTTATTGAAGACATTGCATTTCCACTTATAATACAGTGCTTATAAAGTGCAATGTTATCTTTTCCCTGTGCACATGTTCCATGTTCAAGTATAGAGAATGCCCAGTACTTTACTGTAGCAGTTAAACTTTAACAACTGCCACAGAATTTGCTACAAATTTAGGTCCTTCAATGTTTTATTGTGTGGAACAATGCTAAATAAATCTATACTTAGGGTTGGGTTAATCAACCTCTTCAATGGTAGGCCCTGAGGAAGCACCACCAGAAGGAGGAGCTCCCCCACCAGGGAAGCCCCCAGGCATGCCTCCAGGCATGCCACCTGCACTCTGGTACAGCTTGGTAATGATGGGATTGCAGACTTTCTCCAGCTCCTTCTGCTGATGTTCAAATTCTTCCTTCTCTGCAGTCTGAGGGAAAAAAAAGTAGCTGTTACCTTTCAGAAGAAAAAGCATAGTTGTTGAGTTTGAGGCTATACCAATCCTGAAAGTTAAAGTTACACTTTTTCTTTTCAAGTCTAGTTTTTGAACAGGTCACTGACATTAAAAGTCTTGGATACTTTGAAAACCTTAGGTCACTCAGACATCCAAGGAAGGTATACTGCCAACATGTCTTGAATTCTGGTGGAAACTGCGAATGTTTGGACCTTTCATCACAGTGACCTTTATAAAAAACCCAGATCTAACTTTGTAGACATTACATGACCAACTAAGATTACCAACCTGATTCTTATCCAGCCAGTTGATGATTTCATTACACTTATCGAGAATCTTCTGTTTATCTTCATCATTGATCTTGCCTTGAAGTTTCTCATCTTCAACAGTTGCTTTCATATTGAAAGCATAGGACTCCAGTGAATTCTTGGAGGACACCTTATCCCTCTGCTTCTCATCTTCAGCTTTGTACTTCTCTGCTTCCTGGACCATGCGCTCTATGTCCTCCTTGCTCAAACGGCCTGTAGATTACAAATATCTTGAGTTAAAAGTATCAGAATATTCAGTTCAAATGTAGTCTAGTATGCACCTATGTACTAGTATGACCCTGTGTACTAGTTAAGAAAGAGCCACACAATGCCTTTGGTGAATAGAACCAAAACTGTAATATACTATATCATGCCAAAATGGCACTTCCACATCAAACTTACCCTTGTCATTAGTGATGGTAATCTTGTTCTCTTTCCCTGTACTCTTGTCAACAGCAGAGACATTGAGAATGCCATTGGCATCAATATCAAAGGTGACCTCAATCTGAGGAACACCACGGGGTGCAGGAGGTATGCCTGTGAGCTCAAACTTGCCAAGCAAGTTGTTATCCTTAGTCATGGCACGCTCACCTTCGTATACCTTGGGTAAAAAATAAAGAAGTCATTAACAATGTAATTTGTATGCTCTTAAAGCTCAACTAAAGACTGATCGCTCAGACATCCAAGGAAGGAACTGGCCAACATCAATCAAGATTTCTGGTGGAAACTACGAATGGTTTTGGAATCAATCATCACAGCAGGCAGTACTTTTCTGGTTTTGACTCTTGTAACCCAAACCAGGACAGTCTAAAAATACCTGAATAAGCACACCAGGCTGGTTGTCAGAGTAGGTAGTGAAGGTCTGTGTCTGCTTGGTAGGAATGGTAGTATTGCGTTTGATGAGGACTGTCATGACTCCACCAGCAGTTTCAATACCAAGGGAAAGAGGAGTGACATCCAAGAGCAGCAAATCTTGAACATTTTCAGACTTGTCTCCAGACAGAATGGCTGCCTGAACAGCTAAGAAAAGAAATAATATTGAAACAGAATGGAATCCTTTAAGCCCTAGTCACCTCCCTAAACATTTTATTCGCTCAGACATCCAAGGAAGGAACTGGCCAACATCAATCAAGATTTCTGGTGGAAACTACGAATGGTTTTGGAATCCATCATCATAGCGAATCAAATTGGCCTATCAGAAGCTGCCTATAGGGTTTTAGTGTAATGTTAGTTACCTGCACCATAAGCAACAGCCTCATCAGGGTTGATGCTCTTATTCAATTCTTTTCCATTGAAGAAATCTTGTAAAAGCTTCTGGATCTTAGGGATACGGGTAGAACCACCCACCAGGACAATGTCATGGATTTGTGACTTGTCCAGTTTGGCATCTCGCAAAGCCTTCTCTACAGGGTCCAGAGTACCACGGAACAGGTCAGCATTCAACTCTTCAAATCGAGCGCGAGTAATGGATGTGTAGAAGTCAATTCCTTCATAGAGGGAATCAATCTCAATACTGGCTTGGGTGCTGGAAGAGAGGGTTCTCTTAGCTCGTTCACATGCAGTACGGAGACGGCGGACAGCTCTCTTGTTCTCACTGATGTCTTTCTTATGCTTGCGCTTAAACTCAGCAATAAAATGGTTGACCATTCGGTTGTCAAAGTCTTCTCCACCTAAGTGGGTATCTCCAGCTGTAGATTTCACCTCAAAGATACCATCTTCAATAGTGAGGATTGACACATCAAAAGTGCCACCTCCTAAATCAAAAATCAGCACATTTCTTTCAGCTCCAACCTGCCATTAAAAATAAGCTATTACATTTCTGGTAATTCTCACAGTATCAACATGAAGTTAACTCTCTACAAAGTACTTACCTTTTTGTCTAAACCATAAGCAATAGCAGCAGCTGTTGGCTCATTGATAATTCTAAGTACATTAAGACCAGCAATAGTTCCAGCATCTTTGGTTGCTTGACGCTGAGAGTCATTAAAGTAGGCTGGCACAGTAACCACAGCGTTGGTAACAGTCTGAAAGTAGAAACACATACATAGCCATCCTGTCAATCGATCTACTTGAATACACAAATTTCAACACCAAATGGATTACACAAACTTTGTAAAAAAACCGAATGCTTGGCATTGGCTTTACAAGGGGACAAGTATGTGTACCCTACCAGTATAAAAAAACTCACCTTCCCAAGATAAGCTTCGGCAATTTCCTTCATCTTTGTCAGCACCATAGAAGATACTTCTTCTGGATAGAAGCTCTTTGTTTCTCCTTTGTATTCGACCTGAACCTTGGGTCGGCCTGCATCATTCACCACCATGAAGGGCCAATGCTTCATATCAGACTGGACTACAGCATCATCAAATCTTCGTCCAATCAGACGCTTGGCATCTGTAAGATATCAAATGTCTACAATGCAGTATTACACCTTTCAGATAAAAACCCATGCCCACAGATAAAAGGCATAGTTTAGTGGTAGAGTTCATGCTTACAGTGCCTAAAGGCCTGATCCCTAGCATGCAAAAAAAACCCCTCATACTTGCTCTAATGTGTGATACATGGATTTTTAATTTGTGTATGTGTAGTAGGTTCATTAATTTTACAAATCTCTAAAAACCTTACATAAGGCCATAAAGTTACTGTATCTTTCTAAAATACATTTCTCCCTTCTCTTCCCAGGCTTATTCAGATTTAATAAATTCGGACAAGCTCTTCTCATTTCCTCCTCCCCAACTCTTAAATTGTTTGTCATTAAAATTAGGATCTTACCAAAAACTGTGTTGGTCGGGTTCATTGCAACTTGATTTTTTGCAGCATCTCCAATCAGTCGTTCGGTGTCGGTGAAAGCGACATAACTTGGGGTGGTTCGGTTTCCCTGATCATTGGCGATTATCTCCACCTTCCCATGCTGGAAAACACCCACACACGAGTAGGTGGTGCCAAGATCAATGCCAACTGCAGGTCCCTTCGACATGGTTGCTGCAAAGAAAAAGGCGGTTGTTTGGGCAAACACAATCAACTAACTACTGTAAGTACTTCCATTTCCTCAGTCCACGCTCAAATTGGGCGATCAGTATGACACAATGTAAACTGCAGAGGGTGGAAAGATAACGCTGCAGTCTAGGTTGCGGTGCCAACCCGAGCCTGTCCCAGCTGAGGCCTGCGACGTCGCTGAGCACGTGGTCCTCCCGAGAGCCCCGTGCTTTCCCTAGAACCCCTGACCCGGCAAGCCAGAACGGCCGGCTTTACTCCTAACTGCCCTCCCCAAGCTCCTCCCTCTGGAGTGCACGCCAGCAAAGGTTTCTCTCAAGAAACTGAGTGACACTGACCAATGCGCGGAGCCAGTTACTGCCGGCCCCGCTTCCTGGCGCGCCAGAGAGCTGACGCGACACCTCCGCCTCCTCCAAGCGGCCAAGAAGCCAGAGTAGGGGCGCCGCCCTGCTCCCCCAGCGGCCACCCCCGCCCGCGCTCCCCAACTCTCATTCACACTAAGGGCAGACAACACCCGGAAAGCCCAAACTGGAGAAATTTAGGTAAATGCCAAAGGCGGCGCAAAACACGCAGCACACTGTTCCCCCTCCCCCCGCCCCAGGGCTGCCTTAAAAGCCCGCAATGCGACAAAGCCCCTCAGCCCGGACCAGGTTCTACAGTTGCCGAGCTAACTGCTAGTCTTAAAAGATAAGAAGCTTTACCTTGAGTGTAGGCCCGGTTCTACTGGCGAAGAAACCACACAAACACCACCAAAGCTACCGGAGCGTTCAATGAGACCGGTTTTGGGCCGGCACCCTGTCTCTTATACCCCATCTCAGAACCTTCCAGAAGGGTCCCGCCCTGCTGGCTGCCGGTCTTGGCCCCCTCGGCCAATGAGCGCCCAATTCCCTCCTCAAGCCCCAATGACAAACCCATATCGACTCCTCGGGCCTCGCCCCCTCCCGCCTCCATCCCACTCAATCTCGCGATGACGCACCACCGCAGCGTTCTGGAACTTTCAGGCTCGCCCCCACTCTCCGAACGGCCCCGGGGAAAGGCAGGGTGGGGGGGCAGGAGAACCTGCGCGCGGGGAGTCCTCAGTTACTCCGGTGGGGGAAGGGAATGTCCGCTTCTACGCATGCGCCCCCCACCCGGCACACGCGGGCGGGGACGGAAGAAGGAGGAGGAAGAAGGGCGGGCACACTTTGAAACAACCAATGGCAGTAGTGCTACCTGAGATCGTTGCTAGTGCGGAACCGAGGCTGGATGAGCGCGTCTTGAAGGGAGGGGTTTGGGCCCTTGGTGCCCGGGGAAGAGAGGACGGAAGTGGAGCGAGGACAAAATGGCCGCGAAGGTTGTTCTTCCCCTTCCCCCACCTGGGTCCTCATTTCCCCTTCCCCATCCTTCGCCGCGGTGTTCAAGGGGGGAGTCCTCGAATCCTCGCCACCCTCTGCGTACCCACATTTTGTATCTAGCGTGGTTTTGGGCTATAGCTGACCTGAGGGGGATAGGGCCACGGTTCTGGCCTTGGCTTTGCTAGGGTCACCTAAGGCCGCCGTGGGCTTGCCTCTGCTCTGCGTGGGTGCAGAGGTCTGAGTCCGACGTCTTAGGCCCAGCGACATGACCCTGGTCTGGACCCTCTGAAAAACCCTGGGCAGAATGCGCAGACCCCAGCCCGCGCTCACCACAGGGACCCACGTTCGGGTCTTAGTTCAGCCCCTACCCCACTGCCCCATATTTCTCAGTTATTTATGAAAAAAGGGTAGCGGTTTGGTTTTTGTTCACTTATAGGTAAGCAATTCTAGGTTCCGGTAGTCCTGTGTCCTTGATTTAGATATCCTGAGCTTTTTTATTTTCGGTAACATGAGGTAATGTCTTTCCTGACTTGACTTCTATCAACAAGTAAAGGACAGACCATATAGTCTTCGTTGAAAACCGAGCGCCTGAAGCAATGCACTGAATTTTCAGTTGTGGTACACGAGGCAAGCATTTGGGGCCTTGTCATTCTGAGCTTGGCTCAGTGCCCAGCCTGCTTCCTCCGGTGCCTTTTCAAACTGACAAGACACCTTTGTCTATTTAGTAAGTAAATAGATAGATGAAACGATTTTTTAAAACTAACATAATTTCACGTAGTAGGGCTGGATTTGGAAAGTGTCCCGACCCTGTGAGGAAGGCCATCAGAAGACTGAGGACACCTTGTTCTTCTCAAAGGAAGAAAGCCTAGAAACAGACTCTAATGTCTAAAAGAATGTTTTAATTTTTGCTTCTTGGGGAGTGTGCTGACTTGGAATCTGGGGAGGTATATACAGTACTTAGCTTCTGCCTTCCTCCTAAGAAGTTAGTTGTATTTATTAATTTTTGCAGTAGTATAACCAGCACCACAAAATGGAACTTTAGTTTTTCTTTTAGAGATGTGCAACTCCTAATTTCCTCCTGCTGAGCACATAGTCAACACCTCTCCTTTCCTGGCCCAAAAGAAGTGATAGAGGGCCGGCCGGGGATTTAGCTCAGTGGTCCCGCCGCCTGCCTTGCAGGAGCAAGGACCTGAGTTCGATCCCCGCTACCAAAAAAAAAAAAAACAAAAAACCCCCAATATTTAGATGCAGTCCCCAGGAGACTAGATTCAGTTTCCACAAGAAAGGGAGGAAAGAACTGAAGTTGGCCGGAAGTGATAAAGCTAGTGTGGAGAAGTGTGTTATAGCCCTGTGTATCCCTTTCTCCCACCTCTGTTCCTTACTGTGAAATACCTTCACCCTCTTACACAAGGTGAGATGGTGATTTGAGGCAAATGGGTCCCCTCCATCTTCTCAGAAATAACTTTGAATAAATCTTTTCTTTTTACTAAAATAAATAGTACTTTAATTCAGTCAGCAGTGAGCAAATGGGCATCAGTGGCCAGTAACAATAGTGGAGATTGGACCCAGGGCCTTAGTACAGGGCTACATCCTTACCCTTTTAATTTTTATTTTATTTATTTATTTTGCGACAGGGTCTTGCTATGCAGTTCAGGCTGGCCTCCAATTCATGGCGTTCCTCCTGCCTCAGCCTCCTGAGTGCTGGGATTACAGGCGTGTGACACCATGCCCTGCTTAATTTTTGTTTTGAGCCAGGGTCTTGCTAAATTACTCAGGGTTGAATTTGAGATCTTTCTGCCTCAACCACTCAAATCTCTGGAATTATAGGTGTGTGCACCATGCCTGGCTCCAAGATACTAATTTTATACAGTGCTTAATGCACAGAGTGCTTTAATTTGTTATTTAATCATCAAAACAGTTTTCTGAAGAAAACAGTTTTCTGAGTTACCTGTATTAGGAGAAAAACGTGGCTCAGAGATGTTATTGTGGGAAAATAGACAGCTGGTTAGGCTAGAGTCAAACCTTTTCTGCTACAGTATAATTTCCTTTCTAGAAATACATTTAGCTCCAACTACAGTAGGAAGGTGTGTACTATGGGTCACTTAATTTTATTTGGTTATCTGTACTCTTCATACTCAAGAACTGGAAGCCTCACTGTAACAACTATACTTTCTAAATGACATCCTGTATTTTGTATTTTTACAATTAATCTCTGAACTACATAGATTTTAATCATTGAGCTAGTTGGGAAGTAGGTCTGGGGCCCAAGTCCACTGTTTTGGGGGAATCCCACCCAACAGCAGTGATTTTATTTTATTTTACTTTTTGGTACCAAGGATCAAACTTAGAACCTGGCACTTTCAAGGCAGTCAAGGCGCCACTGAGCTACATCCCCGGCCCTCAACAGCATTGATTTTAGAGTGCTTGGCTAGCATGCCTGAGGGCCTGGCGATCATCCGCATCCTAAAAAACAGAGCAAGTAACTTGTGTTTCTGGTCACTTGAAAAGTATTCTAGTATTATAGACCACTAAGATAGGTAAAAATATTATAGGTAGTCAGACAGAGATAAGCCCTCAAGGGAATCAGTGCAGAAGATGAGAACACACAACTGTAACACACTCCAACTATGGCTGGAGGTGCATCTGTTGAAGACCAGGTCTCAAGATAAAGATGGAATGACTGGTCCTACATGCTTCCCCAGGGGATAAGAAATAAAGATTATAAGTGATACCACCTGGTCCAATAAAGTCTGGGTAGACATCAGTGGGTGACCAGAATCTCCTGATTCATATACCTTCCTATTTACTTTGAGGCAGGGTTCCCCCCTTTTTTTTTCTTTTTTCTTTTTTCTTTTTTTCTTGGTACCAGGGATCGAACTTAGGACTTTGTGCTTGGCGGGCAGGCATGACACTGGTGAGCTACATCCCTGGCTCAGAGTTCCAGTCTGTAGTTCAGGCTGGCCCTGAATTCCCTGTAATCCTTCCTCAGTCTCCTGAGTACTAAGGTTATAGGATTGTGCCACCATACCCTGGCTGATCCATACCTTTCTATAAACGTCTTTGTTCTTTCTGTGTATGCTTGTTAACATGACCTGCTTTCCCATTGGATCACTTTTTTAAAAATTAATTTTATTGGTACATTTTAGGCATACAGTATAATGGCATTCATCATTGGAAATTTGTACCTTTACATAATATATTTTGGTAGTTCTGCTTACTCTTTTTTTTTTTTCTGGTACAGGGAATCGAACTTGGGACCTTGAGCTTGCAAGGCAGGCAGCGGCACCACTGAGCTAAATCCCTGGCCCCCATTGGATCAATATTACATAAGTCGCTAAACTTGTACTTTTATTGGTTGATCATAGTTTTGATCCACATTATACCCACCTTGTGATTTTGCTCTATAAAACTTCCTCTGTGAGGTGGGGTCTGTGGCAACCCACTTTCAGGTCCCCTCTTGTCTCTCAGGAACTATTTCTCTCAAATTTTTCCTACTCTTCACCTCCATTGTTCCTTAAAATTCATTCTTCAATTTTGGGGAACATGAACTTGGCATATCTGATGCCTAGCAGGTTGAGAGTTATATTATTTCCCCTGTATCACTAGGACTTGAACTATGTACTTATTAAGTGGAATGATTCAGAACTTATATATTAAAAGCTCAGAATGTGGTGAATATTCCTTCTCTACCTCTTTAAATACACAGGGCTTCAAACAACACATTTATTAAAGATCTAAAATTAAAGTTTGGGTATAGGGGATTACTGTGGAGGAGTATGGAGCCTAGGGCTTCTGACTGGGGAATAGGATAATGATTAACATTTTTGTATCCTCTCACATGCTAAGCATTATTCTAAATGAGTTGCATATATTTCCCAGTTAATTTTCACCATAAATCTTAAGAGGTGGCAATAATTATTGTTCCCATTTTGTAGATGAGGAAACTAAGGAACTGAAAGATTAGATGATTAAGCGAAGACAGCAGGTCAAATTGCTGAATTTGGGATTCACACTTAATGTGGTTAGTTTCTCCCCTCTTAAAACATTTGCCTTTTTGCTAGCTAAAATACCAATGTTGGTGAAAGGTGAAATCACATTAAAATGAAGATAGGGTTATGTGGTTTTTGCAGTCTTTCATAATCTGTAAGTCTGCCTCAAATTCCTTGTTAGTATTAAGCATGCATTCTTTCTTTTTTTTGTCTTATGCTTTATGAGCAGCAGGGAAGAGTGGAAGGAGCATGGAGTTTGGAGTCATGTCTGGATTCATATTCAAGCTCTTGAATAATGACAGAAATAATTTCAGTGTCTCTTTCTGTAAAACAATGCCCTCAGATCTGAGGATGGAATAAAATAATGTGAAATCTTGTCTTTTCTGTCACAGAATCCCCCTTTTCCCTTGTATTTTTAAATCTGTATGCATCAGAGGGTCCAGAGTCTTTTATCAAATTCTGAAAGACATCCAAGACTCAAAGTATTAGGAACCTTTGACTTTTCCTTAACTTTCAGAGCCAGTCTCATAAGGAAGATAAAATTAGGAGAAACAGACCGGCATACTCAGTTTTATGTTCTGGGTGTATGTGTACAGATAGAATTTGATTGAATTCAAAAGAAAAGGCATTTTGGGCATAGTTACTGGTTAATTATCACTTCTAACCAAGTGTTTGGGAAAAGAGGAAGGCTCTAACGGGATCAGGCCACAGAACAGGCCAAGAATATTATTTTCTTATGCAATTGCAGGTATTATTGAAATGAGTATTAGGGTACCATTAGTTGAAAAAAACCTCTAAATAGATTATTCAAATCACCATAATTCATTAGGCAATATGTAAGTCCCAAGTTAATCAACCTGGGATAGACAACCTCATGGCTTTCTTTCCAAAAGGTTTAAATTTAAAATTTAACTGGATAATTTGTGGGCCGTGGATTTAGCTTAGTGGCGCCGCACCTGCCTCACAAGCACAAGGTCCTGAATTCGATCCTCAGTATTAAAAAGAAATACTGGGCTGGGGAATTAGCTCAGTGGTTCTGCCACCTGCCTTGCAAGTGCAAGGTCCCAAGTTTGATTCCCAGTACCAAAAAAAAAGAAATACTAAGGGCTGGGGATTTAGCTCAGTGGTTCTGCCACCTGCCTTGCAAGTAGAAGGTCCCAAGTTTGATTTCTGGCACCTGAAAAAAAAATTACTAAAAAAAATTTGGATAATTTGTATTAGGATTATATGGTATGGTGTTCCTAAATATTCACTTTGAAGATTAACATGAAAGAATGTTGAACTTACACAGTAGTTCCTTATTTTAAAACCACAGCTATTAGAAACAATTCATTTTGGATCCAATGACATGACTGAAACTTCCAGTGTATGCCCTGATTGCCCAAAGACTTGACTGTATTTACCATGTTTAATTAGGGAAGTTTGGAACCAGAATGACTCAGGTTGTTATTAATATTTTGACTAACTGTAGCCAGGTACAGATTACTGCTGTTAGAGAATAGCTTACTACATATAAGTAGTCCCAGTATCTATCCCCTCATTACGTCTTCTCTCCTTAACCAGATTTTATATATATATATATATATATATTTTTTCTTTTTTTTTGAGACAGGGTCTTGCTATGTATTTCAGGTTGGCTGTGAAGTCACTATGTAGCTCAGACTGTACTCAAACTCCTGTCAGTCTGCCTGCCTCAGCCTCCCAAGTGCTGGTATTACAGGCGTGGACCACCATGCCTGGTTTAACCAGATGATGCTCTTTGAACACCCTGTGCCTAGTGTGGTGTTTCACTGGTAGAGTCCTTGTTGTTGCTGTTACATGTTTATGTGCAGAGCAACATGCTAAGCACTGTATTAATTTTGCTTGTTTTTGTATTTATTCATTTATCTTTGTACTAGGGATTGTACCCAGGGGTGCTTTACTGCTGAGCTAACATAATCAGTCTTTTTGGTTTTTTGAGACAGTCTTGCTTTGTAGTTCAGGTTGGCTTCAAACTCACAGCAATTCTGCCTCAGCCTTCTGAGTGCTGCAATTACAGGCATGTGCCACCATGCCTAGCTAATAAGTCCTTTTTAAAAAACTTTGTTTTTGGTATCCGGAATCGCACTCAGGGCCTTGCTCTTGCCAGGCAGGCACTGTGATGCTGAACTACAACCTTGGCGCTCCCTTCTCCTTTTTTAAATCTTGAGATAATGCCTTGCTAAATGACTGAGGCTGACTTACTTCCGACTTGCAATCTTCCTACCTTATCCTAAGTAGTTCTGATTATAGGCATGCGTTGCTGTGTGTGGCTGTTCTTTTATAGGGAGAGGGTGTTTTGTTTCTTTTGGGTTTTTTGGGGCGAGGGTACTGGGGATTGAACTCAGGACCTTGAGGTTGCCAGGCAGGTGCTGTGCCACTGAGCTACATCCCCAGCCCTTGTTTTGTTTCTTGAGACAGGGTCTCGCTGTATAGTCCGGGTTAGCCTTGAACTCATGGCAATCCTCCTTCCTCAGCCTCTGGAGTTCTGGGATTATAGCTGTGTGCCAAAATACCTGGCTTTATTTTTATTTTGTTTTTGGTTTATTTGAGACAGGGTTTTGCTAGGTAGTTGAGGTGGGCCTTGAACTTGCTAGGTAGCATGCTAGTGATCTTCCTGTTTCAGTCTCCAAAATGCTAGGGTTACAGGTGTGTGCCACCCTGCCTTACTGCTCTTTACTCTTTGTTAATTGAAATATTTATTGGAGCTATTTATAAGTAGCAATACTGATTGATTTTTTTTTTTTTTTTTTTTATAACAAGAGAAGGCTGGGGAGGTAGCTCAGAGGTATGCTTCCCTAGCATCTGCATGGCCCTGGATTTGATCCCCAGTACCACAAAAACTAAATAACAAAATAGAAAAACAAGAGGGAGAAAAAAATCAGCCCTAAATAATTGTAAACATAATACTTCTAAATATGGGATATCCAAAGTGGTTGGTTGAGCTTTGGAAATATTTTAAATAAACTGATAGACCTTTGTTATCTCCAGAGAATCAACAGCACCTATTATTTTTCAGTCTTAAGGCAGCTTGTCTTTTTGCCTGTTAGAAGATCTGACAAATGTTTTCCTTTTGTGTGTGTGTGTGTGTGTGTGTGTGTGTGTGTGTGTGTGTGTATGTGGTGCTAGAAATCAGACAGGGTTGCACACATGCCAGGCAAACACCCTACCAATGATCTATACCCATAACCTCTGACAGATTTCTTAACCTTGATATATTCAATTTACTCTGTATTTAACATTCAACAAAGATTATAAACATATGATATAAGCCTATTATTACTTTACTATATAAAAACATCATAAGCAATTGTAAAGTTGGAAATTTTATCCTAATTTGCATGGAGTTCTGTAAGCAACTTGGACTTACTGTATGAGTGAGTTAAGTGTGTCAGAGATGTGATGTAAATCATTAGGTAAAGGAAGAAAGCAATGGGAAGGGAAACCCCATAGTTTAGGATAAAGGTTTAAGAATGAGGATGGAGATTAATCAGGATCAGCAGTTCTGATGAATACACTAACATGACTGGGTTTAAATCCTAGCTCTGCTACTGAGAACTTCTCTGGACTTTAAATTTCTCATTTGTAAAATGAGAATACAAACATTTACAGGATTGGTATGAGTATGAAATTGAGACAAAATATATAATGTACTTAATAGAGTGCCTGGCATATAGTAATATTTTTTTGATGAATGATAATTACTATTCTTACTGTTCTGATCGACTTCTGTGAAGGTTTTTTTTTTTGTTTTCACATTTTTGCGAATCTCTTAGTGTATCCTTGTCTTTTCAGATTTATTGGAGTCCTGTAGTGCATGCCTCGCTGTTGGTACTTTACCTTGGCACAACATACTTAATGATTATTATTTGTTGACTTTGATAAAGTTCTTAAGTGCAGCAACGGTCTCATCTCTCAATGTTCCCTGTGCTAGTTATACTTAGCATCTTCCCTTATGAGAAAAAAAAGTCCCTGGTATTTTTGTAACTAAAATCAATAAATAATAGATCATATTCAGTCTTGAGTTCTTCTCTTGGCAGCAAGCTGATAAACAAATTTCCAGTGTGGGTCATATGAGCTTCACCCTCTCCTACAATATCACCTTCACTTATTTATGTTTTAATTGCTGATACAGACCCATCTATAATATTTAGTTTTTGTGATGTTTAGTCCCAGTTACAAGGCAATTTAAAAGTTAAAATTGAAACATAAGTAGCTTAAAACCAGAAATGAAGCAAAGATATGTATCTTTGGAACAGCAATTCAGAAATTATTTTTATACAATATAACAACAAAGACATACACTTTATTACTATTTTACAGATTTTAAGTTTGGTTTATGTTTTATTGAAGCAGTTACTCTCTAAACATCCACATCATTCCAGCATTGTTTTCCTACAGTTTTTCTTCTGCCATTTAGTTATTTCACTCTTTTTTGGTTTGTTTCATATTAAAGAATCAATTTATTTGCAAAGTCACTGGAATGTGGTTTGGAACTAGTAGTGGTTCTGACTTTATCTTAAACCCAGAGCCTATCTTATCTGAACTCAAATGCCTGACTCAGGTGTTACTGCAAGACTTTAGCACCTTATCTGTAAGAATCTTTCATTCCTTAGATTTCTTAGCTCTTAGAATAGTCTTTTGTATATTTGCTGCAGATTTCCATTGTGAATACATTGCCAAAATAATTTGGGCATTTAATGGAATTTTAATATTCTGATAACAAACATGATTAATCTAAACCTTTTAATGCAGCAGGGATTTATTCCTGCTTTCAAGGGCATAGACAAGAAACCTTAGGTTCAAAGGTAGTGAATAACAATAGAAAATTCTAGTGATGACACAGATGCAGCCTTCCATAGGTACTCATTTGGCTCAGGTACTCTAGGAATAAGAATTCTCAGAATTACACAGCACAAGATAAGTTGCCTAGATACCACACTTTCATAAGAATAAAAATATAATCAAGAGTAAAGGGTTTTATATCTTAACAATGAGATAAGAATATAAGAAGCATTCCAAATGTGCCAGTTGTCTTAACCAAATAGCAGACATTTATTTTTATTACTTCCTCAGTGTCTCTTTATTTTCTATCTTTTTTAGAGGAAGACAAAACCTTTTTTTAGAGGAAGTTAAAACTTTCAGTTTAGCATGCATGAGATCCTGGGTTTGAGCCCCAGCACCACTGAAAACTTTTCTCCTCAAGGATAAAAACTTCCCCTCTAAGGTAGATACAGAGGGACTTTAGAAAAGAATGCATTTATACTCTGTAAGGACATTATTATGAGAATTAAATGTAGGAATGAAAAACCAGAGAAATGGGCAAAATCTCAGATCAACCTTTTCCTGTAAGTATCTGATTCTTATTGTAGAAACAGTGCTTTCATCACCACATTTAGCATTCACTTTTCTTCCTGTAACTTTCTGCCCTTTTGATTAAGAAATATTCTGCAGTACCAATGGTGATCAGTTGACATTTGCGTTAAGTTCTTTAAAGGGTTACTTCAGAATCAGCCTTTGTGCTGTAGCAATCCAAGTAGTCAAAACTATTAAAAAGGCAAGTTAGTATACTCGAGTCTGATGCTTCCTTTTTGTCAGACACTTTTTTTTTTAGACACTTTTCTGCATCAGCTCTTTCAATATCTTCCCTGCTAAATCTTTTCCAGGATGCTGGCAGCTAAAGTGTTAGGCTCTAGTAGTACCCTGTCCTGCTATCCACTAGTTGTTTTTACCATCTCTTCCCTAAATGTTAGTTCCCTTTCTTTCCAACCCAAATCTACGCAGCTTCCTTAAAAGCTGAAGTTGGGAAATACTGAATTTCTCACTGTTTCAGCCTCTCAGGAGGAAGTGATATGGCACATACTTGCAATGTCATTAGGAAATGTTGGGAAACTGATCTTTTCAGTAATTAAGGCCTAGAAGCATCAAAAGTCCAAAGTTCTCATCCTTCTAAAATGAAAGAAATGGAGGAATCTTCAAGTTTGGTGGAATACTGAACTTCCTTATATTATTCTTTGACATATTAAGAAAAAACTGATATAATCTCCTTTCTAGTGTAGTCAGTCTTGAAATTCTGGTTTCACATGTCCTCAAAAAGAAGTAATTGTCGTGGTATGTTAGGTAATCTTTCAACACCCCTAGATCTTATTTTCCCTAGAGAATTTCATTCTAAGGATATTGTTAAATGACACTTAGTGAATATTTCCTTCTTCTAGATATATCCAGCTCGGAAATCCTTATAGGCATCTGTTTTGAGAGGAAATTCCACAATTGCTCCAGTAAATATTTCTTGTATTGGTTAGCAATCCTCTGAACATCAAGATGGAAAGCTTTTCATAGACCTTTATCACACATTTTAGATTCCTTTTTTAGTTCTTATTTTAGGGTTCAATGTAAGTAGGGATATTGATAGTCATAGAATAGTAGAAACTCAAATCATTTTTCTCCATCTCCCACTATTTCAACTCCTCTTGAAATTCATTTCCAAACCTTATGACAGGAAGTCAAGTCAGACAAAAGGACACATTTCCTTTCCTGGTCTTTCTTTCTTTCTTTCTTTTTTTTTTTTTTTTTTTGGTACCAGGGATTGAACTCAGGACCTTGTGCTTGCGAGGCAGGCGTCAGAACCACTGAGCTAAATCTCCAGCCCTCCTGGTGTTTCTTAGAAGTGGTTATCTCAGTATATGGTGCAAACAGGCGTAATATAAGGCTGTGGATTCTGTTTGACTATCTGAATAATCACAATAATTCAGTAGTCTGCAGAAATACATAGAAAATTTAGGAACAACACCCATTTCTTCTTGATCATGGTGAATTGAAGCACTGATACAAAACGTCCTAGGTGAGAAGTTTTAGGTGTATTCACCTCCCTCCTTCCCAGTCTTCTCACCTCCTATTCAAATAGATTTGAACTCTTGCTTCCCCCACTCCAGTTTAGAGATGCCTTTTTGGACATGATCAGCTTACATCCTTTTGCTTGTTTAGTGTCATATAAGGAAAGTGCTCATCTGAATCTGTTTCATGTGATGTTCACTGCTACTTAAATGACCTTTTATCTTCTCGGAGGGAGTTTTGTGGCTGGTGACAGAGTTCCAATGGCTACAAGAGTCCTAAGATCCTGACTCCTAGGAAAGCTTGGGAGTCAAGTCTACTCTAATTCAGACAGTTTGGAAGGCTCTGCTCTGGCTGGGGATTGTGCTGGGGGTGGTTTCAGCTTTGGTCAGGATAGTGTGGTGGACTTTCTTTGGTTCAGAACATCTCACCTCTGGCCCCACTAGGCTGAAAGCCTGGGTGGCCAGCCCTGGCTGGGTTGCTGCTTCAGTTGACATTGTCCGCTGGCTGCGAGAGGCACTATTTGCTGTGGAGCGAGTGGAGGAAGAACCAGAGCGTGAGCTCCGAGAGCCTGAGGAAGAGGTGCTAGGTTTCACAAGGCGGGCCTTTGGGGCTTCAGCATCTTCTCTAAAGAAAAAAATAGCAAAGATAAACTTTAGTACTGGTGGGACTAATTGCCTCTGCTAAGGTTACTTCATTCTGAAGTTTCCCCCCAAATTCCTCAAACTGCAAACCTCAAATATACCATCAGAAAGCAGCCATTTAGGGAACTAAGCACATCCTAACTGCTTAAACGATGCTTGGCTTAAGCAGCTGTTTGGTTTGTTATCTTAGAAGTCCATCCTGTTGCACTGGGAGGATACATCTCACCACGAGATGATTTACTTGCCCTAATTTAGGATTTGATAGGGTTTTTACAAACCCTATAAACCCTTTCATGGTCTATAGGTTATACCCATTCTTGATTGTATTCCATTTAAAAGTAGAAGTGAATCAGAAGTAATGTAAAATTGAACTTTTAAGCTTCTTTCAAGGATAGTTTCACAATAAAGTCCCAGTAAACCAGACCTTCTGTTCCTAGGCTACAACTTCCTACCTACTAGAATTCATGTTCAGAGGAAACAGGATGTTTATATTTACTGGTTACTAAGGAACTCATCCTAGAAAGGAATCCCGTTAGGAGTGGAGATTGGGGATTTACCGAATTTCATTGGGTCTCTCTTCTTCCTCGTATCTTTTTTTGTCTTTCCTTCGGATTACCAGCCACACCAAGAGGAATATCAGCAGGGCTCCAGCCACTATGCCTGTCACTGCTCCTGCAACCATGCCGATGCTCTGTACATCTGTTTTCTCAGAAGTAGAAGCACAAGTGAAACCAAACATAAGCTAAGAAATATGTGAATTCAAAAATATAAGTCCTGAATAGAATGAGTATTTCTATATTGGTTTTCCAGCGTAACACCCCATTACCCTCTTTTGACTGTCCCTTTTGATATTTTTGCAGTTGTAGTTATTGAACCAGAGGTGTAGCTATTGAATCAGAGACTTCATTAACAATTTGTCAAAATTTTAGTAAAACTTGATTCATTCAGATGATAAAATTAGTGTATCAGGTTTGAAGATTTATAAACCTTAATAGGGCAACATTTAGGTAATCCTTTGGCTCTGCAAACTTCCCTGATTTCTCTTTATTTCCCTCTCCTGCCAGTGGAAAAAAAAGAATATACTTACAATGTTAGACTCTGGGATTCTAACATTGTTACCTGTGGTTCCTCTAAATTGAGAAGTTGAGGTAATTGTGATTTACATATTAGTAACATGCTCATTTGTACACCAAATATTTATTAAGTGCTTACTGCAAGCCAGGCACAGTTCTGGACAAATCCATTCTGGACCTGTTTTAACATCTTACTAGCTTCCTCTCTAAGTAATAAAATAGTGTTGTTTGTTTTTGTGATGCTGAGGATTAAACCCCAGACCTCATGCATGCTAGACAAGCACGCATGTTTTTAAAAAGTTTGTTTTGATGGTGCTGAGGGATCAAACTGAGGCACTCTATCACAGAGCCATATCCCAGCCTCAAAGTACATGCCTTTAGGAGGCTAATTAATCCCCACATTTGTCAGAAGAGTCAGACACAACTGTTGAATGGTCTCTGCAACTGAATTTATTTTGGTAATAACCATGTCTTTCTAGAAATAAAAACTTTGGGTTTGACCTTACTTTTGCTTGTGATTAAAACATCCTACACTAAGCTACAACACACACAAAAAACCCAAATACTGAGACAGAAAACCCCTCTGGATACTTACACTGCACTGTCACTCGTACCACACAACTTTCTTTTCCAGCCTCATTGCCTGCTGTGCATTGGTAGAGCCCAGAAAAGGACATGGTGAGATTCTGCAGCAGAACTCGACCAGGATTATTGAAGTCTATATAAGCAGAATGACAATAAATTCCCTTAGTAACAGTTTATTGTACTACATTGTTTACCTAAGATTTTGTGATACAGTTTGTAAGAATGAGATGATTGAACATGAAAAAACAGGTAAATATTTTTAAATTGTAGTACATCCTCAAAAGTTACAAAAGATTGTGAATACTTAAGGGATAGTAAACAAGATAATTAGATATTGTGAATTTATGTAATACATTTCTTCCTAATCTTTTTAATGCTTTTAAACGCCATTTGAAGAAAGGTTTTTGTTTTTTTTTTTCTTCTATCCTAGTTTACAAATGGAAGAAAAAAAGCTCAAAGAGGTTCAGCAGTATATTCAAGGTCATGTAGGAAGTTGCTGACCAAATAAATTTGGAATTCATGGATACAGTAGTATCTTGTTGGCCCAGTAGAATGGTAGGAAGATGACTCACCAACTGTAGCTTTGGGAGGCAAATGTTCATCCTCTCCCTCTTTCTCTCGGATTCGCTGCCAGTAATACACAATGGGCTTTGTGCCAGAGGATGATTCACATTGCAGAGTCAGGTCACTTCCTTCTGTCAGCTCTCCTTCCAGCTCACACTTGGGCTTGGATGGTCTCACTGGGGGGAAAAAATATATAACGATTCAAAGCTTCTCCAAACACCAGATCCAGTGGGAAAACAGTCCTATTGAGTTGTTTCTCCAGCTGCCTCTTATGCTTGACTTTGGAGTCGGGATTCAACCAGCCATGCTTTACCCCCAGATGTCACCCCATCCTTTTCTTTATGCGCACACAATTCTACCTGCCACCAGTGATCCTGTTGTAATTTTCAGCAGTTGCTCCAGAAACTCCCAGTGCACTTCTCAGGAATAGTCTTGAAGAAACACTTATTTATTGGAAAGTTTAGGAAAGCTAAGCATCGTTTTACTAATACTGAAACATGGATAAAATATATTAACTTGGAAATAATTAAATATAACTTGGCAGATTTTGTTGTCAAAACCAAAACAAAACAAAAACAAATAGGATCCAGGCATGGTGGTACACAACTGCAATCTCAGAACTCTGGGAGGCTGAGGCAGGAAGATTGCAAGTTCGAGCCCTGCCTGGTGAACTTGGTGAGACCTTGTCTGAAAAAAAGGGCTGGGGATATAGCTCAGTATGAAGCTGCTGGGTTTGATCCCCAGTACCACTAAAAAAAAAAAAAAATTTTTTTTTAAAAGGAAGGGGAATGGTGGCTAGGGAATGTAGCTCAGTGAGAAGGCCCAGTTTCAATCCCTAGTACTAAAGAAGATTTAGGCCATTCCACACTACTAGGGCAGAGAAGGTGAGCCAGTCCCAGCACCCAGAAGGAGGCTCCCCCGCTGCCATTCCACGCTCCTAGGGCAGAGAAGGTGAGCGGCGCAGGTGCCAGAAGCACCCCACACCTGCATGGAAATGAGAAGACACGTAAAGAAGCCTCAAAAACAGACTTCCAGATCACCTACAGCAACCCCAAAGGGAAACAAAATGGAACACTCTGATACTCAACCACCTGGACTCCCTGAACT